TCCCCCCCACCCTCAGCGCCGCTCCCGAAGCTACGCGCCTCCCTCCCGGCCGTGGCGCCCCCTCCTCAGCGGCCTCCCCCAGCCCCTTCTCCTCGGTGTCCCCTCTGCTGCCCTGCACTCGTTAGCGCCCGCCCGGTGTCGCCAGCGCCCCTAGCCCGGGTCGGTCCCACATCCTCCCCGGGCGGGGCGCCCGGGCCGCGCCCCTTACCTGGGACTTCGGGTGTGGGACGAGCGGCTCGCTCCTGGCAGTGCAATTGGACTGGAGATCTAGCTGCACGCGGCGGAATGTGCAGCCGGGTTCCCAGAGCAGGGAGGTGCGGTGCGGTGCGGTGCGACGCGGGGAGGTGCCGGGCGGGTCTGGCGCCCACCGCAGCTACTTAGGGCTGAGGCTGTAGCTACAGCTCTGCTCCGCTACAGCAGCGTCCAGGCCCCACCCACGCCCCGCCCAGGGGCGTAGTCCGTGTTCGCTCCTCCCCGGGCCCCCGCAGCCTGCAGGTGCAGGAAATTAGTGGTATCTTGGGCCCCCCAGGCTTCTTCCCACGAGTTCGCGGATATCTGAGTGACTACAGTGATTTATCTTAACTGTCACGTCTCGTTCCATAGACTGAACTTACTGCTATGGTGGTTGAGAGCTTTGATAATAATATAGATGATGATTGGTACCCAGCTTTGCCATTTCCAAAGAACTCTCCTGTCATACTGCTTCATCCTCACAAAAGCCCAGGGAGAGAAGCAGAACCTGGACCGCTGACTACAGGAGGAAACTAAGTCAGAAACCTGGGCACTGTCCTCTTCCCTATGCACTCCTTCACACCCCACATCCCATCAGTCTGGTAATAAAACCCACTTAACATACCCTATCCCTGCCCTTCCTCCCCATCACCACTGCACTCACCCTGGTTCAGGCTCATCACTTCTTGCCTAGGCTAATGTAACAGCCTCCTAATAGATGTCCCTGCCTCCACTTCAATTTATCCTCTATACCAGCACCATGAGTGATTGTTCTACATGTCACCGTGTTACCATCAACCTAGTTAAAACAAAACAAAGTTTCAATGGCTCCCCATTAGAGTGAGAAAATGTTATTTCCTAGTCATTAGGAAGCCCCAATTCTGTCAGAGGAGGCAGGTATAGGAGGCAATTTGACCTCCCATCCTGACCTGCACTTCACTTTAAGTCTTCCCAAGGTCATAGGAGTCAGCTGCCAGCTTTGGTTTAGAATCATTGTTCTTTTCCACATTCTTCCTCCAACTCAAATCTTATAGGTCTGATTCAGATACCAAAACCATTTTCCCTCAAGTTCCATTACGACCCTATCTATAATTTGTCTCCCCAACATGGGAACCCACCCAATTGATAGCCTCTGGTTGTCTAACTTCCATCTGACTCATCATTATACATTTCTGAATTTCTCCATCTTCCTCCCTTTCACTCACCTTCTCCCTGCCCAGTTCCCTGGCAGACCTTTCCACTGTGCCCTCTAGAACCCTGTTCCTTTCTCAATAAACTCTCCTACATCCTCTGCTTCTTCAGTGAGTTTTCTTCTTTGCCTTTGTTGAAACTTGACCTTCTTCCAGGACTCTTCTTGTAGTCCTCTGCAGGAAGACTTCTCACTTTCCCACTCCCCACACACCAAAAGCTAAAAGTCAGCATTGCCACATTTATCCTTGTACAAAAATTCCTTCTCCTTTGCTCTTCAACCATACCACCTTCTACTCTTCATCATTGCAAATATCACTGACCCCCTTAGTTGCTCCTTATGCATTGAAAATCCCAACCGCCGATTTGTGGTTATCCCTATTAACCCCTGTCCTGCCTTCCTGACTTCAGTAGCCATATGATTTCTTGATCCTTCAGTCCTTGGTCTACTTCTCACATCACTTTTGCCACTGGCTCCCATGGCACACGCTGAACTTCTTACTAACCTGGAACTAGTGCTTCTGTGATCTCAAAATCCAATATCCTATACTGCCTGCTCCCTCATTTCCTGTCTCCCATAAGGCCCTAGTTTACTCACTTCAAAGTAGGTATCATAATAATTACTATTCATTCTTCACAGGAAAAATGAGTTAACATATAAACACATTCTTTTAAAGTTGTGAAACAATATGAGAACAGATGGTGTTGTGTTTATGTAGCCTCAGGTCTTCTGATTACTTTCTCTTTCTGCTTCCCCTGGAAGGCCATGTAGTAAAGTGGAAGGAGCACAGGCGTGGGGCCAGCTAGATCTGGTTTTCAATCCTTGTTCCACCACTTGCTTGCTATGTGATCTTATGCAAATTACATAATTTTTCTGATACACACACCTCATCCTCGTTTGTATTAATCGCAATAATGAGAGGTACCTCTTAGGGTCATTGTGAAGACTAAATAAGAAAATGAGATTGCTACTGGAAAGCACTTGATAGATCGCCAGGCACATAGTAAGCACTCAATAAAGAGGAAACACTGTGGTTATTATACCAGGAAAAAAAATGCTATTTTTAGCTACAATTGCCTCCCAAGAAGGATTGACCCTAATGTACAAAGATCTTTTGTCTACTTAGGGCCTTGAGGAGTGTGGGTATGTAAGTGTAGGAGGAGAACGGGTAATACTAAATTGCTCTGGGTAGGAAAGGGAGGAGAATTTAGAATTCACTTGGCAAAATGGAAGGGAGAGGCAATAAAGAGAACTTGAAGGGGGAAAGGAAAAAGATGAGTACGAAAATCCCGTGTAAGGGTAGGTGCTACATGGGTAAAAGCTGAGAAAAAGCCCTCCCATAGCAGATGGACAGAGTGTTTAAGTTCGAGAATGTATAAAATGTGATATGTTGTTTGTCATACATATGATGTAACTGCTTTCTGTGACTCTCGAGACTTTGGAACTCAGGAATGCTTTCTGAGACAGGGGCATACTGAGGATGAGTAAGCAGGGAAATTGTGCAGTGGGCTTTGTTTTCCTGAGTTGAAAAAGGAGACTAGAGGCAGAGACTATAAGAACACAGTCCTCGTAGAATTTACAAAAATTTCCAGGAAGACTTAGAACATATAAGGATTATAAAATGTGAAAATTGAGGTTCGAGTCCATTGCAGTTAGATCTTAAGGGGGCAGAGAGGCCACTTCTGGCATTTGGACTGTATCAATTATGCCCCCTGATAGCTACCTCCCTATTATTAACTAGCAGGTTACCACCAGTTCAAATTATATTGAACTGCCTTCACTTCCAGATCCAAATGCCCAAATAAGAACAGGAAGAAAGATCTATTCTATCCCAAAAGTCTAGTTTTTGTCTTTGATTAGATTGATTAATAACTATGATCATTAAGACCTTAACATGTGATGGGCCCATTCACATCTTTTATCTCCTTTAGTTCTCAATACAATCATGCAATGTATGGATTGTCATCCCCTTTTTATAAATAAGGAAACAGAATTCAGAAAGTTCCAGTGACTTGCCAATGGTACATGTCTGGTAAATGGCAGAACCAGATACAAGTCTGTCTGATTCCAAGTCTAAGACCCTTCTATTAGACCCCCCAGAATTGTGGTTGGTCAATGGTCACCACCGTGGTTTAGAGTCCTACAAATAAAATCTCCTTAAATCTTTTCTAACTTCCAGAGTAATCATCCTTTTCCAGCTCCTATTTTTTTCATGAAATATAAAATTGATGTTTTCTGTTTAATGAGAATTAGTCACTTAGAAAAGGTAATATCATAAGTGTGTATATCATTTGGAATGTTCAAATCTTTACAAGGTTCAAATCCACACCCCAGTGCCAGTCCCTTATGACCAACCTAGATGTGTTGACAGGTTAAGTAAGTGTTTTCATTTGACCTCCTCGATGGGTCATGAGCTTCCTCATGCAATGAGGGAGCTTAAGCAGGTGTCGGAAGGTCACCAGAATCTGTAAAGCAGCTTTAGAAACATTGGGTTCAATGAGAGGAGTGTTGGAAGACAGGACTGGGAAGAGGCAGGGGCCAGGTGATCTTAAGTCCTCATAAATCAGGGCAAAGATTTGAGAATTTACCTTGCAAGCATAAGGATTTAAGCAATGGAGTAACCTGGCTACATATACATATAATAAAGAATGGTCTGGGGCACCTGTGTAGCTCAGTTGTTTGAGCATCCGACTCTTGACTTCCTCTCAGGTCATGATCTCAGGGCCATGAGTTTGAGCCCTGCATCTGGCTCAGTGCTGACAGCACAGAGCCTACTCTCTCTCTCTCTCTCTCTCTCTGTGCCCTTCCCCCGCTCACTTGCGCTCTCTCTCTCTCTCTCTCTCTCAAATTAAATAATTAAACATTTAAAAAAAATAAAGAATGCTCTGATTGTGGTGGGTATGACAGATTGAATGGGAAGGGTAGGGAGCAGGGTGACAACATTCACTAAACAGGGAATACAATTAGAGATTGCTCTGATAATCCAGGTGAGAGATGAAGAGGGCTAGAACTCATGTCCTAACAGTGGGGAAAATGAAGAGTAGAGAGATTTGATATGTATTTAGGAAGGATTAAATGTGAGATATGAGGCAAAGGGAACTGGCATAACTAACCAGGTAGACAAGGAAGCTATTTATTGACAACTGGAGCCCAGAAGCTGATTTAGTTACCTATTGCTGCATAACAAAGCACTCCCAAAAATTCATGGCTTAAACAGCAATACTGTATTCTTTCTCCCAGTTCAGTGGATGGCTGAATAGGTTAGTCTGCTGGTTTTGTTTGAGATCACTCTGAGCAGCATTCAGCTGGAAGTTCAGCCAGACTAGGAGGTCTAAGATGGCCTCACTAATAGGTCTGGCAATTGGTTCTGGCTGAGAGCTGAGCGCCATGGTTCTTCTCCACTTTCTAATCCACCAGTAGGCTAGATCAGCTTACCTGGTGGTTTCCAGGCAGTATGCCAAGAGGATAAATGCAGAAGATACAATCTCTTAAGGGCTAGCCTCAGAAATTGCATAGCATCACGTGTACTTTATTCTATTGGCCGAATCAAGTCACAAGAACAGCCCAGATTTCAAGGAATGGAGAAATCAACTTCTGATGGGAAAGAATAGCGAAGTCACATTGCAAAGGGGGCATCGATACAGGGAAGGGAAGAATCTATTGCCATTAACCAATCTACTGCAGGAGTGGGACCAGATTTAGATAATGAGTATCTCAAATGCCACTTCATGCACTAATCATTCCTCCCCTCTCTGTGCTCCAGTTTCTTCAACTGTAAAGTAAATGAATGTGCATGGGCATTCTCCCCACTAGTATAAGTTTATAAGTGAAATTCGGTAAAATGTACATTGAGGACACTGCCCCCATCATCAGGGCACACCACTGTCAGCAGGGTGGAATCTGAGACACACAGGGAAACATTCAATTGTGAATAGTCAGAACACAGGTACCACCCACCACTCCTCCCTCTTCCTTTACCCACTCTGCCAATC